ATTATGTTTTTCCGTATCAGTGAGATGTAAAACGTCGAGATTTGCAAAAATCTCTATTTTTTTTTTTGCACGATTACAAGACTTTCTCTATACTTCGTATATACGAGAAAGTAAAAAGGAAAAGATGATTATGATCCTTTCATAAGTCAAAGTCACACTAAAATGAGAATAGCTTCAAATGCCCCGTGGATCATCTGGTCAGAAAGCGTTCCTTATTTTAAAAACATAAGACTTTAAAACAGAGGCGTGGCGATTCTTCACGGGGTCCACGGGACAAACTTTCAATTTGCCCCCCCCCCCCCCGGGACAAACTTTCAATTTGGCGCCACCCCCACGCCCCCCATAATTGTGTTACATTTATAATGCAAAACTGCAGCTAAAATAGGCTTTTAATTTTTTTCAACCCTTTTTAGCGCCCCCTAGGGTCGGCGCCCGGGGACATATGTATCCCCGCCCTACCCCCCTCGCTACGCCTCTGCTTTAAATTAATATCAAAGACATCAAGAGTAACTAGTTAAAGCAATGTATATTTATTCCTCATTCTCTTTACAAGAATATCATACTCTACTACATTTTTCAGCTCATGATATTGCTGTGCTCACGCTGGATACACCAATCAACTTAACTAGGGCGTGTGCCAGACCTATTTGCTTGGATCCCACGTATCGAGTTGTGTCTGGTACAAGATGTCAAATAGCAGGCTGGGGAATTACGGATGGTGAGGTTTGGAGTCTGTGTTAAGTAGGATTTATGTTTTAACTGGCGTGGTTGTTTTGAATATTTATGTGTACCTAGCGAGGTTTGGAGTCTGTGTTTAGTAGGATTTATGTTTTAACTGGCGTGGTTGTTTTGAATATTTATGTGTACCTAGCGAGGTTTGGAGTCTGTGTTTAGTAGGATTTATGTTTTAACTGGCGTGGTTGTTTTGAATATTTATGTGTACCTAGCGAGGTTTGGAGTCTGTGTTTAGTAGGATTTATGTTTTAACTGGCGTGGTTGTTTTGAATATTTATGTGTACCTAGCGAGGTTTGGAGTCTGTGTTTAGTAGGATTTATGTTTTAACTGGCGTGGTTGTTTTGAATATTTATGTGTACCTAGCGAGGTTTTGAGTCTGTGTTTAGTAAGATTTATGTTTTAACTGGCAGGGGTGTTTTGAACATTTATTTGAACCTAGCGAGGTTTAGAGTCTGTGTTTAGTAGGATTTATGTTTTAAATAAGTCGTTGTACCTAGTAAGGTCCTTAGCAAATGAATTTTAGTTGATGTTTATAATGAAGGGTGGGTTTTTTTTGTTTTACCTAGCATTGATGCTTTAAATAAGCCTTTGTAATTAGCAACGATATCAATAATGACGATTTCTGTTTGTGGTTATAATGAAGAGTGGGATTTATGTATTAACTATTAGATATGTTTTAGATATTTCTTTGTAACTAGGAACGAACTTAGCTATATGACTTTTTAGTTAATGTTTATAATTGAGTGTGATTTATGATTTTTACGTAGAGGGAAATTATAAATATTATTTCTCTAACTAGTAGCTACTTAAATTACGCTCGCTTTAAACCAGAGCGGTTCGGATGCAGTAGAGTTCAACTGAATTTTTTACTTGAGAATTTAAAGGAATGATAAGTTCAGCACTATGCCTAGCAGCCTTCACTTTCCATAACGTGAGTCGGGTGTGAAACTTAGTGAACTCAAGGTTATATCCCTCGAAATTGGGATCCGAACTCAAGTCTTTCGATATATAAGTCTTTCATTATACAGCCTGATCATGATGCCTCTATAGAATCCACTTTCTAAGCAAGGTATTATATTTGACGAAAATCTCTTTATAGTAAATACTATTTGAAGTTTTATTGTTTTAAATCTGTTATTTATAGACAAATATGCTAAACGCATATAAACAATCTACTAAGAACAAGCTTTTAAATGCAGCGAAAAATCAGTAAATTGTAGAAATCGTCGAAACATTAAGTGAAATATTTTGTTAAAGACACCACACGACTAAAAAGTGAAACTTAAAAACCGTGTAAGAACGTGCAATCAATACCTGTTTTTCTTAATGTCGGTAATAGCTCTCAGGTGCAAAATGTGTGTGAATAGATCTCACATCAGCCGCCTAAAGATCGCATGATCGCTACCATTTCATCATGTTACTCAATTCTTAAAAAACTAAGTAGTCTTCAAATGTATTTTAATGACTAATACCTCATATAGTAAGATTTAAAAATTAGAAAATCGTTCGCTCTTATTTTAAAGGAGCGTATCTTAAAAATTAAAAGGAAATTATTAAATCAGATGTGGGTCGAAATAGAGCATTGAAATTTGACAAAATAACCACAAACAAGCTGACAAACGGACATACATGTTAAGAAGAATAGAAATTCTTCTAAATTAAGCCGACACTCTGTACTCATTAAGCAAATCATTTTATTCTAGAAAACTCCTTCACACTGTCCACAAAGCTGAGGTCAGCATCATAACAACCTACCAAGGCGAGGACTGCTACACCAACTTCCCTGATGCCGGACCAGACTACGTCACTGACCCAGGCAGGCAGCTGTGTACTGGAGAAACCGCTGGAGGGGTAGACGTGTGCTCTGTAAGGCCATGCCAATCTTAGTTTCCTTTTGTGTGTTTTGTGTTTCTTTCCGACATTTTTTTCCTTTCTTTACGGAGGCGAGGGGTGGGTGAACTTGAAACTTTCGGAGGACGGGCGCTGTCTAAAATTTCGGGGGCCGGACTGAAATTTCCGGGGGCAGGGTGTGGTGTACGTATACTATATATACATTATGTTTTCTATTTCGGTCGGAGATAGAGGTGAGGGTGATGGACGCGCTATGGAGTGGGAAGTCCCCCAACCTGTCTCTCAAAGAAATATCTGCAAGAAATTCAGCTATTGTTGAAACCGGCACCGACAAGATTAACATGACTTGTTAACAAAATAACTCAGTACATTGAATTTGAATTATAACTGGAAGAAGTTGTTACTCGTATAATGCCTGTATAAAGCTCCTGACCTGAAGATTTTACGAGTCTCGCATGAATGGAGACACGCCTTGTTTGAAAGGGGGGGGGGGAGTGTTCGCAATTTTGTGACGATGTGTGACGAGGTAGAACATATTTTTATTTTATTACGAGATACGTTTGCTTTAAAAACGAAAACGGTAATTTTAAAGGAAGAGAGGGGATTGAGGGGGGGGGGGGTGGGAGAGTAGCTCTTTTGTGACTAGTTTGGCGATATCAATATGACAATGTGTGACGGTGGGGAGAGGAAGGAGTTTAAAATCGTCAAAAAACTGACTCAGCAAATAGAAGAAGAATTTATACGTACACTCATTGTTATGTGGTAATTTTTTCTCTAAAGACTTCAACTCTATCAACTAAGTTTTTCTCTGATAGTTTTTTTCAATTGTCCCCTCCCCAAGGGCGATGCCGGAGGGCCACTATTCTGCCTGAACACAGGCACCAACACCTGGGCGGCTGCTGGTGTCGCCTCGTACGGCGAGGGCTGCGGTAGGGCCGGCTACCCTAGCGTGTATACAGAGATCAACGCCTTCTACGACTGGATCCTACAGCAGCTCTAAGCAGGTGGTTTGTGAAGTTTATAGAAACAACTCTATTGAATTTTAGCTGCAGTGGCAACACTTATGTGTGTACGGTTTTGTGCTACTAGAAGTTATCGTCAGTGCAACCGTGGTAAAACCCACGGCGGTTAAACCTAACCTTAGTCTACGCTAAAAATAAAAAATAAAAATAAAACTTAAACAATTTAATAACATTTATTTAACAAAAATGGAACGAATGTTTATGGAAAGATATAAAATTTAAAAAAAAGTAGAAACAAAACTAGGCGAAACAAAACATACTTTTTTTTTAATATAAAATGTAAAAAGGTTATATGCAAAGCATGAAGTCATAATAACATGGGTTTAGTACAAATCAAATCTTCCAATAAAGGGAGGGCACTGAGCACTAAACTACCAGCTCAAATGACACAGTTATCAGCCTTAACATAAGTCTCACGTAAAATAAAATGCATACTATTAATTTCTTTACGCATCCATAGTGTCTGGAATAAACCAAACACTCTCCTGGGGATCAACAAAGATCACATGTAACAGCTCACATGTAAAATAACCAAACCCGACAGTCATGAATGAACCATAACTGTGGGTCAGGCAACAATGAACATTATCCCTGGCTTAACACAAGCCCTAGGGATACAACTAATAAAATAGCTGTACCACTTAACCCAACAGTAAACCATAACTGTGGGTCAAGTATAAATAAACAGTATCCATGGCTTAACACAAGCCTAAGGGAAACAACTAATCAAAACCAATGCAGTGAATAATTCACAAACAGGAGGTTACAGGCCTAAGCCTAAATATTAAACATCAGAATAAAAAATAGACTTTATAATAAACTCTGTATGTCCCACGTATATATATATATATATATATATATATATATATATATATATATATATATATATATATATTTTAAACAGTAAATGAGCTAATAGGAACATAGGAACACATTTTAGGCATATATATAATGACTTAAATTTTTTAGACTTAAAGTACATTGAATCATTTACGTAACAGTAGTAATCAGAAAAATTTTGGAAATACCATGTAAGACATTTGTTACGAATGGGCAGGTATTAAGTCTTTACAATAGCAGAACGGCATTAGCTTAGAATCTGTGACACAGTCGGCTTGTCCTCGGTATAGATTTAATCTGTCTATTGCATCCCCTACCTCTATGGCTTGTGGTGGTTGCGTCTGTTGCAGTGTTGAATTAGAACTAGATACAACGGATGTGCTATTGTCCAACTTATGGTAGACTGTAGCTTCAAATATAGCATGGCCTGGAATCGTCTGCAGTCTGACTTTGTACATCACCCTGTCGTAGTTTTCCTCCTTCAAAGCGGTGGAGGTGATGTTAAACTTGTAGACTTGAATGACTTTCTCCAAACTCAGCTTAGCGCAGACTTATTCATTGCCTTTAGTGTTGATAACAGCGACTACATGTTCAGCTAATAATTTTGACAGGGTGTCATTAACGTCGATACGGATCATGTTTTTCTGACCACATACGCAATATTCTTGAGGGATTTGAGCAATTTCACAAGTTCTGCTTTTAGGTATTTCTTTAAGCAAGCTAATACCTGGTCCTTTGTTTACAGGGGCTAAACCTCCAGCTTTAAAATGTAGCAGCTCCATCAAAGTAGCGTGTGTGTCGTAGTGTGACGTCAGCCGTGCCGTATTCCTTCTCAAATTTTCCGCAACGTCCGGGTATTTCTCTAAAAACCATTTCGGAAACGTTAAAATCGTGTACGGTGTTTTACTCTCAATCATCCCATGATAGGTCGATCTGATCGGGCCCCACCTGGGACCATGATCAGAAAATGAAATCAATAATGTGTTATTTAAATAGCCCTCTCTTGATAACTCGCTGTAGATTTCAAACGTGTGGTCGTCTACTTTTTTAAGGTCATTTATGACGTCATGCGTCATTCTTGTCAAAAACGCCATTGCGAATTTCGGTATATCAGAGAGCGTGTCGTAAAATTTTCGTATATAATCAAGGTGAAAGTACAACTCTGGACGACTTCCTAGACAGTCGGTACCCGAATCATGCATGTCTTTATCGTCGTCTGTTGCGACATTGATAGGATGGCTGTAGTATGTGGTTGGCGGGAATAAAAATCCTTTTTTACCGTAGTGGAAAGCTCCAATAGAGGGGTAATCTTCAGTGTACAAAGTCCGATAACCGGCTTTTTCATACTCTTTCCAAATAAAATCAAACGCGTCCGTTTTATTGGAGTAATCCCACCATTTTGTTAAATTCTTTACACAAGTTCCCGTTAGTAATGAAATAAAATTTGGAAAAGTGTTATGGCCTGTTTGGGTGTGCATGGTAAAATCAAACGAACTGAAGTCATTCATCAACAACGAATACGTTTTATTCATTGCGCGCAGAAAATGATGTCTAGATACACCATCATATCCGATTATCATAATATTGAGGATTTCTTTTGGAGAAATTGTTGATTTATGTTTTTGAAGCAATAACGCGTCTATTTTCAATCGCCTTTCAAGCTTTGGAACTAAAGCGTAGTAGTTTTTAGAGATTTGATGTGAAGAAGAGTCAACACACACAACACGAATAAACTCAGTCGCCTCCCCTAGCTGTAAAGATTTATTGAAAGACTTACTCCATTTACCATACTTTGCAACTTTGTCGTCATCAAGGTCTTTAAAAATATCTTGATATCTACAAGAAATACTTTTAAGATCAGGAATCAACTTGAGTACTGTTTTATTAACACGTAGTTTAGTTCCCTCCAGGTAAGTTAAATCAGGTAAATGTTTCTTGCAGGCTAATGCCGTCTGATCCAGGCCGGATAATTTCATAACTTCCGGGTCATACGGGTTCAGGTGAGGAAACGCACAGGCCAGATCTTCTTCATGATCGATCTGTATCAATAAATCGCTCGTGTTCGATTTCCTGTCAGCCGGTATTTTAAACACAACTTGGGTTAACTTTTTAACATTTGATACGGTCAACGATAGATCAGGCCCAGCAATGTACATTATGTATGCACTGAGCATTAGAAGGCAAAGTAAGGTTTTAGGGTTAGGTCTTGTCAGGTGGTTCCTTACTGAAAATAAAATATACATGTTAATTTATCTTTATTAAAAAAATTACTCATAACAGCCAGTGGCATAGCGAGGTCGGGTGACACCCGGTGCGGCACTTAATGGTGTCACCCCACCAGAGGCGTAGCGACCCTTCCCGGGGACAAACTTTCAATTTTCGATTTTCACCTTCCCCCCCCCCCCCCCCCCTCAAACCTTCGATATGCACCCCCCTCAATTTTTTCTCTATATATTTTGCTATTTTTTGCCTCTCCCCCCCCCCCCCTCGCTACGCCTCTGATAACGTATTTGTCAGGTACGATTTAACAAAAATGACAACAAATCACATTTAGTTAATGCATTGCTGACAAAACGTAAAGCAAATACACAATTACCTTGCAAACTTTAATAATACTACTCACTAGATATGAAATTATATTTTAATTGTTTATAACTGTAAACTTCGATCTTTCTATAATAGTACAGTTGAAATTGTTAAACTTATCTATAGCCCCACACGACTTTATGAAACATTAGCTGTAGATAATGTACAGTAAACGTTGGCTAGTATAATGCACACAAAATATTAAGAGCCTAGAGTCAGTGGCGTAGCGAGGTCGGGTGTCACCCGGTGCGGCACTTAATGGTGTCACCCCCAGAGGCGCAACGACCCTTCCCGGGGACAAACTTTCAATTTTCGAGTAGCACCCCCCCCCCCAACTTTTGATTTCCACCCCCCCCCCCCCTCCAAATTTCGATTTGCACCCCCTTAAACACTATTTAACACTCGAATTAATCACTTAATAAAGTGGAATTATTATTTTTCTCTATATATTTTGCAATTATTTGCCTTGGTGTCACCCCGCTAAATGGTGTCACCCGGTGCGGTCCACACCCCCCTCCCCCTTCGCTGCGCCTCTGCCTAGAGTAAGAGGCATGTTGAGCTTATGGGATAAAACCAGTAACCTTATAAAGTGACCACACCATAAACTGGAATATTCTGCAAGGATACTCACCTGGCTGACTAAAGTACTTTCTAAACTTTATCCTCATAGAAGACAGTAATTTCTCGCCAAGTTTTGTTGGTCTATAATATAGAGACTACTTTCTTTGTGCTGTACTACGCCTAAGAAAGAATTTTTAATTTTATTTTATTTGCTACGTTGTAATAGGATTATTAAAGTAGGCCTACTTATTTATACAGCAATTTCTAATGTGATGGTATAAAAAAAACTAAAGTCAACTCCTATATTTTGATTGTTGTTTTAAAGCTTAAAAGTTAAGATTAGAAAAAAAAAACCCAAAGCAAAACCTGATTATGGTGTTTCAGTAGTGTATATGGTGAAACAAACACATCCGATGATGTGATGAAGCATTAGAGAGAGCTTGGACTCAGTGATGTTGAGACATGTAAGAATTTAAGACATCAACATTTGTGGAGACCGATAATATAAGAAGATTCAATGAAAAGTAAGTCTGACATTCAAAAGCAATGATCATATTCCTAATATATAAAAGCCTATGTGCTTCTCTCTCTCTTTCTATGTACGAACAATATTTCAGGGGCTATGATATCAGTATCTTCAGCAATATATATGTAGAACATGATGTGTACTTTTGTTATAAATAATATTTAGATGTTTTAAATGTACAAACTAAATTTTATTTAAAGGAAAAAAAATATAGACATTCGAATGCAGAAACAAATTTTTAGTAATGCAACCGGAAACGTGTTTATCGTTGTGACACGAAAGTTCAATCAATGATGTCACATGCCACATGTTTAGTCAAGGAAAGAACACAACACTAATGACGCCATCTTCCGATTTTAGAATATACAGAAATGAACTATATCATTCGAATTTGATTTAGATCTAGATTCTATAAATCTACGAATTAAGACGAACGCTATGAAATGTAAACACTTTTCTCGGTCAAACTAGTACAAATTACTTAAAAACACAACATAATGACCATTGCATATCCCGGTTTTTAACGATATAAGTTAAGGCTCGTTGAACAGTGTGTGCATTTAATATGGTATTCTGTGGACTAATAATGTATATAATTTGGTTTTTACATTTTTCTAATTGGTATTGGTAGTCTATGTTATTTTTAGATATTTAATTATTTCTTTGTCACTTTTATCATTCAACGTTTAGTAAAGCGCATTGCATTTTGACCAATAACTTTTTTATAAAATATTTTCTCAAACATGTATAACATTAAAATATACAGGCCTATAATTCTCGTGCAGCGGGTACCGGCGGCTAGTTTTACTATAGTTATCGAATTGATTATTTATTACTTATACACTTAAACCTACTGCTAGACAACCAGATGAACTATTACACTGTAAGGTTAAAATGTAAAGGAATGCTAAAAATTGACATTTCTAAATATGTAAAAATCAGTTAAATATTTCAAGTATCAACGTTATTCATTTTGTTAAATTATTTCTCATGTTTATGTATATCATGGTTTAAAGTCATGTCTTTATATTTATAGAAAAGCAATACACTTGAAAAGCTGGCTCCAATGGGTATATTTGAATTGATAAAATAATTCTAAACGGCTTTTCAACGGCTTATATTCGATACAAAAAAATATATAATGAGTATAATCTACAGTTCCCAAACAGCTTTAATTTTTACAAAAGGAACTATAACGGTATCACATGCAATAATTTTTAAAAAGATTTTTTTTTCAAAAATCTAGTATGATTATATAGACTTTTCATGCCTACTAAAACGTAATCAAAATAGGGCTTAGAAAATGTATTTTTAGCGGATGAGAAAACATCAACGTGGTTTAATTAGAAGTTCCTTTTTCTGAAAGCGTTAGATTCTCTTATTAGGAAACTTTAGAAAATAAGAAAATGTTTTTAAGAAATACTAGATGACCCAGTTACTAAATCAAACAAACGAACGGAGAAAGGAACAAACAAGTAAATAAACACGCTGACAAATAAAAAGAAAAAAAAACAAGAAGTAGCATTTAACATAAATGTATGAAAATAATTCTCGTATACACTTAAATGAACCATTTTCAATACATTTCACCGCATTCAAATAGCAACCAGAGTCTAAATAAAGGAGAGCTATTTTGTCGAGAGCCTTAATGATAGGAACCTCTTAAGATTCTCACCTCTTTGTCCAGTATCATCTATACAACGGTACTCGTTGCGCCTATTCTGAATGTTGAGCTTGGAAGAGTCTCAGCTAGCAGCTCATAGTACGTCCGCAAGTCACGAACTATCCTGTCTAAATAATGGGCTATCTAAATACGATACAGTAATACACAACATTTACGAAAACTTCCACTCCACTAGAGGTGATTTAAACTATGTTAATGAGATTGTTTGGAGATGAAGGTGCTTTAGATTATTAAAGATATAAATTATAAAAGGAAACTTCCTTTGTTAAATCTTGTAGTGTTTGAATAAACAAAGGCTTGCCTTAATGACACATGTTAACATTAATTACGATGTAGATATTATCGTAGGTTATTTAAATCTATGTTTTCTGTAACACAGTGTCTTGACCTCGATGATAAAACTCTATACAGTAACTCATATCAACGTTTAATCCAGGCAATGTAACTGGCAACAGACTGTGTTGACATCAAAGAAACCAGTCTTACCATAATTTATATAACTTTATTTGCCGAGGTCACAGACACAGGTGAACTTTTCTTCACTTACCCCATGAACCGTGAGGCTTGAAATGGGGACGTTTCATATTGAAATGAGATCTAGTAGCAAGAAACAAAAAACAGAAAGAAATAAAGAAAATAGAAAGACAGCGGGTTTA